AGTTTAAATTAATAACTAAAAATGAAATGTTGCCAGAAACATCGTTCTCATCCATTTTCTTAATTCCGTTTTATAAGCTTTTTTTTTTAAAAAAAAATATATCAAAATTTATATAACCTGCACTTTATTAAAAGTTAGTCCCTCTTTAAACTTTTAATTTGCGCACTTTACTCATGTTAGATAAAAAAAAAATTTAATTTATAAAATCGAAAAATAAATAAAGAATAACCCAAATACGGCCAAATCGTTTTTATATATTCAACTTCGTAATGATAAGCCTTTCAAATTATAGCTTTTTATAATGGTTTAGGCGGTAATTGAAATCAGTGGCTTAACCTGTCACAGATTATGGACGTGCCTTCGAAATGACCCAATGACTAGTCATTTGTCATTTAAGTCATCTGGGTCATCTCAGGTCATTTACCATTCCTTATCTTTAGTATCACGAACCTAGCATCACCTCAAAGAACATTACACATATTTGAATTCAACATTATAATTCCGTTTGTTTTTATATAACAATACATTTTGTGATATCACTTTATTCTATAATATTTAAAGTTCGTTATAAATTAAATTACTATAATTCTTAAGGACTCATAACACTTTCTATACCAGATAATTATAAAATTTAAAAATCTTGAGCTCATTATATACTGAAATTGTTATATAAATGTTCATTATATGCGGAGCAACTGATGACTTATGAAATATGATGAAGACAAGAAATACCGAATCAATATACTAAAGTTTGAAATGATTTTTTCTTTTTGAATTATTAATTAAAGCTGTTTAGAATTAAATTTGATTCGTACAGGCCTATAAACAAAAGCAAATTATCTCCAAAATTTAGAAAGTTAAAATTTGGTATCATTTATTGCATGTTATAACTAGTCTATAACCAGTACTTGAAAATTTTGAGGTTTAGAAAAGTTATCATACTTTTCATTTACTGTATAAAATATAAACAAAATTAAATTTTAAGTGAGAAAATCGAAAGTACTTTGTGAAGCTAGATCGTTAAACCTTGTCGCACAAATATGGTTTCTTTTTAGGAAACCCCGAAAACAGTATTTGAAAGGCGCTTAACGTTTACAATTTACTATGAAAAATGGACGATCATATAAATATCGATCATAGTAAAAAATTTACTCCCCTGATCTGCGTGTCAAATCGGCTAAGTTTCATTTGTATATGTATGTACATACATATCTACGTTTACATTATTCAACTCTCATTTTCATCATTTTTGTAGAAAGTATTTAGATAATTGTTATATAGGCAATTGTTATAATGGAAGAATATGGAATTCCTGGTTCGAGTTCTTCAACTGTAAGGATCGCAATAAATATCTTTAACGAATAATTAATATAAATGTTAATGCGTTTTTATTTTTAGCCTGCAGGACATAATCACTATGGTTATGTTAACAAAAACTCTTCAACTAGTTCAACTTTTATCATTAACAAAACGAACACAAAAGTTGAAGATCAGACCATTATTGATCATGCTAAGGAATTTATGAAAGACTTTAAAAATCCATCAAATTTAATTAGTTTTAAGTATTTAGTTGAAGACCTTGAAGTAGAACCTTCTGCATCATTATTAGAATTATTAGTTGATGCACTTTTATTACTTAGTGATGCTTCTTTATTTAAATGCTACACAAGAAATACTATTCCACATTTAGA